TATTTATATTAAAACATCATTTGAATCTAATCTAATAAATTTTATTATATTTTCTTATTTAATACTTTTAATTGATTATAAATCTTTGTACCTTGTAGTCAATTAATTTTTTTAAAAACACTACTCATCAAAGATATATATATATAGTAGTATTTCAAGCCAAAACGAGCCAAACACGAACGAACAAATCTTTGTCCGTGTTGTTCGTGTTCGGCTCATTAACTTAGCGAACGAGCCGAACACGAGTTGTTCACGAACAACAAGTCGTATTGACAGTTCTAGGCGTGAAACTTTCAGCTGTTAAGTACACTTAAGGTTAAAGTATTTACAATAATGACATTGCTAATGGTTCCCCACAAATTTAGCCTCTAGTAGATAGATGTTAAATTTATTCCTAAGCCTTTGAAAATTAGATGTAGATAAAACCTTTGTGAAGATATCCGCATTTGATCTTGAGTGGTTATATGGTGAACTTCAATGATGTTTGCTTTGATTTGATCTCGAATAAAGTGATGATCAATTTCTATGTGCATGGTGCAGACATGGAAGATAGGATTATTAGCCAGAGTAATTGTTGATGTGTTATCACAGAAATAGTAGTAGGAATGTCCATGGATAAGTGAAATTCAGCTAGTAGTAGTTGAATCCATATGACATCTGTTATTTCCAAAGAGAGAGCTCGTTACTCTACCTCTATAGAAGATTTGGATACCGTTGTTTGTTTTTGGACTTTCCATGAAATCAAAATCTCACCATAGAATGTGCAATAGCATGATAGGTACCGTTTAATAATAGGATCCCCTGCCCAGTCCAAATCTGAATAAGATTGAACTATAGAGGAGTTGTTGGTGAATCGAAGTTCCTATGTTGTAGTTCCTTTAAGAAATTGAAGAATGCGTTTGATTTGTTGGAAGTTTTTATGTGTTGGCAAGTGCATATGTTGACACACTTATTTGACCACATAAGTTTTGTCTGGTCTAGTGATCGTCAGATACTGGAGCATGCCAGCAAGTTGTCGATAGAAAGTGATATTCAAGAATGGTTATTATGTGTCTTTGTTGCTAGTAACTTTTTTCAATTCTGCATTCCAGCTTTATTTTTACAGTTCTAAGGTGTATGAAGTTTGATTTCAATGGTAGTCAATTGTCGATAGAGGTGATTGAATGTCTTTTTTATGCCTAATTATCTTTACATTTATCACATGTTTTTAATAAAATTACACTTTAAAGAAATGTTATTTTCATATTTATCTTGCAGGTACAATACTTTGAGTGAATTAGAGATGAAATGGGATGAAATAGATGCAAATAGAAGTAAATGGGGATGTTGTTAGCAAGGTGGCGCCTAGGTGTCAGTCTTCACCTAGAAAAAAGAGAAGATAGCGCCAAGGCGCTGCAGATTAGTGCCTAGGCGCCTAACTGTACAGGGGCGATTTATGTATGCCCCAAGGAGTTATTTGATGAATCTAAACGAAAAAAGAGAAGATAGCGCCAAGGCGCTGCAGATTGGTGCCTAGGCGTCTAACTGTACAGGGGCGATTTATGCATGCCCCAAGGAGTTTTTTGATGAATCTAAACGTTTGGACAAACACTTTTTGACATTTCTAAGTCCTATAATTCTCTGGGAAGGCCGAGAGGTTGTACATAAGAGTATGAAATGTTGATTTTTACCTTTTCTGAAGAGATTAGTAAATGGATTTTGAGAAACATCAGCAAGAGACTTTGTTGAAGGGATTTTCATCTTTCTTTCAGAGGGAAAAAATTAAGTATTATGTTTTTCATTATCTTGTACTTTTTGTAAACACTTATCAAGTAGATTTACTTTGATTTAATGAAGCTTTCTATTGTGTGTGACACTTGCTTTAAGAAGTAGAATTCTTATATTTTTCTTTTGTAATGAATTAGATGAATGTTTAGGATGTTAGGATTTATGTTAGACTAAGTTTTTCATATCATAGTGATGATTCTTACTTCATGCTTCATTTATTAATCAATCTGATCAATTTGTAAGTTAAAATTTGTTGTAATACCATAAGTTTCGGAAGGGTTATGGCTTTAATAACTAGGAGAAACCACATTAAACTTATGGGTGAAAGAAAAATAGTCATAAGATTCATTGCAATGTTAGGGAGATATTTGTTGATGAGTGCAAATTGATGTTTCTAGGGCGACAGGCTAGATTCCTAATAAATTTAAACTAGGGTTTTGTGTCTTAAATCTAAGATTAAGTTAATTAGAGGGTTGTTAGGAGAATGAGACTTTAGGGTGACAGACTAAAAGTTTCATCGTGATAATCTAGTTATTTTAAGGAATCGACCCTAGGTTTACTAAGATACATTATACAGTCGGGAGTGGGTAAGTTAGATTTTTGCTCCTATTGTCACTGGCCACATTAGATTATAAGCATCTCATTGTTACACATTATCTAGGTCACCACAAGAGAAAGGTGGTTTTTACACCTCAAAATTCACCAAACCAATTTATCTAATTAGGTTTAACTTTAGAGTTAGGTTTGTATTTAGGAGTAGTTGTTATAAAAACACCCAAAACACCCTTAATCGACCACCCTTAATCGACATTCCAAACTAAGACTTGATAGTAGTAAACTAGAACTTAGCCTAAAGTATTTTTTACCTCCCTTCTTCATGGGATCACTAATCGAAACTTCATTAAAACCCTATATTACTTGAACGCTATGTATACTTGCGTAGAACCCCTAATGTGTAAACTATAAATAAAATTCTAAACTTTATAACATATCCATTTTGCACACTAACCGCCTCAAGAAACTGGGTCAAGTTTTTTTGCCAAAAACTAAATAAGTGTGTAACTGCGGATCAGGTCACCCAGCTAGCAATGTTCATTAAAGCATCATGATTGACACGAGAGTCACTCTTCTACCGTGCCTGGCTCGCTATACATACATGCATGTAAATGCAAGTGCATACAGTCATATGACAGAAGTGACGAGTGTGTCGAGGAGGCAGTGACTCAGAGGCATTGACCCGAAGGGTGGCCGTGTCGAGGAGGTAGGGGCTCAATAAATGGGTGTTTTGAAGATGCAGTGACCCGAAGGTGGGCATGTCGTGATGGTGGTGACCCCGAAAAAAATGGTATGTCGAAGAAGCAGTGTCCAGGAGGTGAGCATTTCATGATGACATCAACCCAAAAAAAAGGTATGCCAATGAGGCAGTGACCCATAGGTAAGCATGTCGGGGCGGCAGCGACCCGAACAAAAGGGTATATCGAAGAGACAGTGACCCGACAAAGTGATGATCCTCACTAGGGAGAATAACCAACACGCATGTGAATGCAAAAACAAACACAAACGGAGTATTGTGCAACACGTAAGAAAGCAAGCAGGCACACACACATGCAAGTCATGCATTATGCAGGTGATCGGTCGACTGGGTCGGGATGGTCGGTCAGACCAAAGTGATTGGTTAACTGGGTCGAGGCGACCTGTCAAACCAAAAGTGATGCCATTCGGCCCGAGATGATCTATTGAGGCATAAGTGATGTCGATCAATCGAGGATGACCGATCAAGGCGCAAGTGGTGTCAATCGGCCTGGGATGACTGATCAAGGCACAAGTGATGTTGATCGGTCTGGGACGGCCGATCGAGGCACAAGTGGCACTGATTGGCTCAAGATGATCGATTGAGGCGCACGTGATGTCGGTCGATCTAGGATGGAAGGTCGAAGCACAATTGGGGGTGATCGGCCAGGGATGGTTGATCGAGGCACAAGTGATGTCAAATGGTCCACGATGAGTCGGTCGAGGCACAAGTGGGGACGATTAGCCCAGAAAAATCAATCAAGGCACAAATGATGTCGATCAACCCAGGATGGTCGATCGAGGCACAAAGTGGAGCCAATGGGTTAGGGCAGTCAGCTGAGGCGTAAGAGATGCTGATTGGCCCAGGACGACTTATCAATGCAAGATGCACCATGCGAGGCAAACACAAGCGAGTGGCGATTCGAAGCATATGATTACGCTCGTACTAACAACCTCATGTCGAAAACCTAAGGTTTGGCATTTCAATATCTGACATAGTCGCCTCCTGCTTTGGCGAGATTTGTAGGGGTGTCTCTCCCCCAGATTCCCGAAAGAAAAACTCTCCACGATGTCGCAAAATATGTTAGCTACAAAGCCTTTCCCTTTTCATGAACCTCTCAAGGCTTTGCAAAGTGAGCTAGCTACAAAAAAAATTTTCACTTTGCAAAAACCCAAACGTCCCAACTTCTAGAAGGAAAGTTGAGAAAACCAAAGCAAGAGGAGGTAGGGACTCCAACCTGGTAGGACATTATGCTAGGGTTCGCAACAAAAAAGGAATTCACTTAGCTTCATAGGGGATACAACCACACATGAAATCCTATATTAAGGCTTCCTTTAGGAAGGCAAACGATCCATCACATAGGCACGTGATCGTGCTGACTAATGTAGTCCGGCGTACGCACCTCATGTGGGCTAATGTAGTTCGGCGTAAGCACCCCACATGCCTATCACAACTAAACCCTAAGTCTAGCTAAGAAAAGAAATGTGGGAGGGGAGAATCTCACCACCTCAAATTTTGTTTGACGTCCATCGGAGTTCAGGAATAAGCTCTCCCAAAAGGCATGAGAGAAGCCCATGAATCCTTCCTAAAGAGATGAAGAAGCTTTCCTCGCCAGAGAGATCGCCGAAGCTCGTCGAAGTTGCTTTCCTCAATGTTAGGAAGACGCTTTCCTAATCGTGCTCCTCAGAAGCTTCACCGAAGAAGGTGGCAGCACACAGGAAGAAGAGGTGGGTAAATGACCAAGTCTATGTTTTCTCCTTGAAGAATCCCCAAAACTCCAAGCCCTCAAAGAAGCAAGAGAACTCCAAAGGAGAAGGGGGGATGAAGAAGAAGAGGAAGGAAAAAAAGAAGTGGAGGAAGAGGAAGAACCCTAGCTCTCGCTCGTGCGAGTGGCCTCAAATCCAACATACAACCAACCTTATCATGTGTGTGCCAACCACCAGTCAAATCTTTGTGCCCATCCCTCCCTCTATCTTCTTTCCCCAAACTCTAGCTCCTAATTCCGTCGGATTAATATTTTTACCTTTTATTTTGTATCTTCCCATTTTCTTCATCTCTCACTACTGACAGAAAAATCAAAAAAGGTGTGGCAACAAAGAAGAGCAAAGCTGAGGTGGATCTAATCCAAGAATCGCTACAACAAGCAGTTTTTTAGTGCGGTTCATTGTAGATTGGAGGAGGAAGAGAAAGAATAGTCGAAGAGTCGAAAGATCAAAGGGAAGAAGAAATCAGTCGTTACGTTCGGTCTTGCCAACCGCTCGTGATGAACATGAACATTTCTGACACAGGGGAGGAAATTAGTCGTTACGTTCGGTCTTGCCAACCACTCGTGATGAACATGAACATTCCTGACACAGGGGAGGAAATTAATCGTTACGTTCGGTCTTGCCAACCGCTCGTGATGAAAAGATAGATTTGACTATTAAAAAGTGATAATGAATGTTATCTTTCATATGATGTTTATAATTATGAAAGTTCTGGTATGAGTTAGTTAAATATGAAAGCTTTGGTTACTATGGATATAAAAACCCCAAAAAATATTACATTTGAACAAGATTGATGTGGATTGGTGATGTTGGGGTAAATACCATCCCAATACTACCAATCTGTAGTTGCAGATATTGCACGTAATATTCTCTCCAAGGGTGGCACAACAAAGAAAGACAAATATAAGGGGGGTAAATATTACGTGTGAACAAGAGGTTTGCATTTTGCGCCTCCGTTTGTGTGAATTCCACATGTAATATTTGCTCGCAAGAAGTAAATTAAAAAAAAAAAAAAAAGATGAAGGTTGACTACATTTCCTTTCACCTAAATCCATTTTTGGCTAATCAATTATATTTGTAGAATGACAATATCTAATAAATCATGAGTTTACGACAAATCAAAATAAAAATTGGATTTAATTGGAGAACGGATTTATTTACACTAATTTTGTTGTTTAACTTGATTTTTTGTAAACCCAACTTACATTCCATTTCAAATTGCTCTACCAAACAACCCCAAAGGGTGTAATTAAAGTTGTAATTGAGCCGACTATATCGTAGTTCAAACTTGACTTGGTATAATTATAAGTTGTTCATGTTCGACTTTAGCTTCTGTCGAGCTTTGATATGTTGTTCCAGTTTGACTTGTTTAATTTTTTTATTGTTTGAACTTAATTTATGTTTGATTTGTTTATGGTAAATGAACGAGCATTTAAACAAGCTAACAATTCAAACAAGTATCTACATTCTCATATAAACAATTTAATTAAAAAGCTTTAAGAATCTGATCACAACTACTTATTTATCGATATAAACTCTAAAATCTATGAACTTTAATGATAGGCTAAACTAGTTTAAATTTTGTAAGTAAATCAACTTAAATTGAACCTAAAAGAATATTAATCATATTATTGATATAACACTATATTATTATTAAATCTACAATCAATTAAATTCTAGTTTATTAAATTTTATTTAAATAGTATATCATATATAATATGAGATATCATCAAGCTCAATATCGAGTATTTAACAAGTTACTTATTGGACAACAAACAAATTTATTTGTGAATATAAATGAATAAATTCAACCATGTTCACGTTCATTTCATTTAAGCTCGAGCATTTAAAAATCATTTAAGCTTGTTTATTCATCAATTTGAACAAACATGATCGAATCCTAATAGAGTCAAATGCATCACTAAGTGTAATTTAAATTATTTTTTAGGGTTTTTAAGTTATTAAATTTTAAATATTAAAATTTATATAGGTTAAATTATGTTGTATTAGTTTAATATGTTTTAATACATTACATTTTCTAATGATGAGAAGAAATTTAACTCGGAAAAAAAAAAGTGGAATTGAATCATCAACTGTAAAGAGAAATTTAAAATTCAACATTTGAATTAAAAATTAAATCAAATGATACAATAAATATTAATTTATTTCAATATAATTTAAATCATAAAATATTACCACACTAATGTTATTTCTACTAATTCAGTAATATTTTAATTCTTACATATTTTATATGTATTTTTAAAATATATTTTTAATTTTAGGCCATCAAATCAAGATTACAAACCCAAAAATTGATCAATATTATACCAACTATGTATAAAAACGATTTTAGACCAATAACCTGATTGAAGATGAAAACGTATTTACATATTTTACACCTAAAGTTTAATATTTACATTCAAAACACACTAGTGACATTGTATAGCATGTGCATATGAAAGTTTAGGTGTTAAGTATGTAAATACATAAGAATTATGTAATATGCATGCAAATGCTACCAAAAACTATATGGTTTTCCAATAAGAAAAGACTTGGCATCCAATTTTGGAAGGTTATCAACACAAAACTTCTAAGTTCTTAAACCATCTATTAAGACTCCAATGACATAATTCCTCAATAGTCCCACACTTATCCAGGGCTGAATGCAACGAAATATCTACAGCTACAAATCTGTTGATGATTAAAACAAATTCTACTCACCATTGATCAGTATAAATAGATATAAAAGGTGGGTGTTTTCTATCAAGGGAGAGGATTCATGTCTTCTTCAACTTTTTCTTCAGCATTCTATCGTGATTCAACATTGTACTTACAACCTCCACAACAAGTACAGTCTGCAAGTAATTTTTTGAGCCAGATTTTCATTTGTTCTTTGGTCTAAATCTTTTAAGAAAGATTCTACGTGGTTTATTGAACAAGTAATTCTAAATTAGAAGATTTGTTACCTGCAAGCAGGCGTATGCAAGACCAGTAGCGAAGTAGAAGTTTGCATTACCAGTGCCCTGCCATTCAATTTGTTAGTCCTCAATAACAGGACAAGAAGTGATTTCATATGGCTTGCAAATACTAATCTTTATAGATTCATGTCAATAAGAACATGAAATATTGTACGTGAGAAGGATCAGAAGAGAGAGAGAGAGAGAGTACCCTCCATATCCATAAGTTGTGCATGACCGGGCTCAGTAGAGAGACTCCAACGTATCCACAAAACAGGAAAAAAGAAAATTTCATCTCTGCATGGTTCAAAAATGATGCAGACATTGAAACAGAATAAGAAAATAAATCATCTCTTCATATTAAAAAAAAAAAAGAATTAAACACTAAACATTGAAAACAGAATGGGTTGGAATAATCAATCCAAATAATACCTGCTAGCTCAACAACAAAAAGGCCCAGAAGACTCAGGTACAGAGCGGCATCTCCTACCTTATTAATAGATCAACAGACAAAAAAGTTGTACAAACACTTTGAAAAAAATATAACATCATAAATTGAAAAAGTGTATTTGCGTTGCAATATAATAACCGTGTCAAAAATTTAACTGTAGTTAGGCTTAGAGAGCTTATATATTGAAAATATTTGCCATGGCTACGTAGGAGGTCACAAACTACTACTAATGCAATTCAGGTTAGTAACTATGAAAAAAGGAAGCTACAAGCTTCTGAAGAAGAACTATTTTAAGGCAAGAACAAGAGATCATTAACCAGTACAGACTGTTCTTATAACCAATGAATTCTCACAACTAAAAATCTACCGGTAAGGCTTCATTAGAAAAGGGCAGGACTGCTGCAAGTTCAAGAAGAATGGCAATTCAGGGCATCTGAGAAAACTGTAAGCAGTTGTGCGAAATTTCTCTGCTTAACTCACATTATTCCTCACTCATCTAGGTGTTGTTTTGACCTAACAGAAAAATTACCATGAAAAAATAGCTAACAATTATGGGCAGCTAAAATTACTATACTGACTTTCAAGATGATAATGTAATCCAATACATTTCGAGTTTATCATTAAAATCATTAAATCTAATTTATTTTTCAATGAATTAGATATTTCCAGAGATATCATTTCGGGTAGCGAAAATGGTGGCTTTCAACGGCTGCGAAATTGGCTCGAAGAATGTAAATTACTTGAAAATCGAATCGAATTTTAGCTCGAATGGAAATCGGCTCAAATTGATTGAGTCGGGCTATGAGCCAAACCAAAATATTGGTTTTATTTTGAGCCGATTCAGATCCTATGGTCAGCTCGGATGCTGTTGCTCACAATCGGATCAAATTTACATTTAATCCAACAGTTGGGAAAAACAGAACCACTGCAATTCAAAAATATCGAATACCTAATCCAATTTCCTATCCCAAGTGCCGCCTGAAGCCCTAAATTTCTTTTTTGGTCTTTGCCTTTTTCTTTTCCCATGTTACGTCTCTGCTCTCACACACTCGCCGCCGCTACTCTCACATCTCGCAGCTCTGATGGTCTCACCCCTTCGGCGGTGATTCAATGTGTCGACGGCGGTGTTGTTGCAAGTTTCCACTTGTGCGGTTTGTTGTGCATCTGGCATGGTAACTCTAACTCATGACATTCTTGCACTTGTTCTTCTATCTTTCTTCTATTGAAACTCAGAGTAATCACTGATCACAGTGATCGTCATTTTTGAGATTTGAAAACTAATAGGCATTTAGGTTTTCTATTTTTTGTGTTTTCTAGTTTGGAGAGTATTTTTTCTGTGTTCTCTATTTTGTCTTTCTCAATTTTGATTTACAGAATGTTGCACAAGCTAGATCAACCAGTCATACGAGCCAGCAACGGTATTCGAGCCAGTTCATTTACAATTCAAGCTACTCATAAATAGTTCGATTTTGATCCGGATCAGATCAAAACTTACTTGAATCTATCCACGAGCCAATTTCAATCCGTGTAATATAAATTCGATCAGATTTCGATCCGCTCATAGATCGGCTCAAAATCGGATCGTTCACAACCCTACCTTCAGGCTTTAGATTATGATGCTTGCCGTAAATGAAACATAATAAGTAACAAGTAAAAAAATAACCACAAGGAAAAAACATACATATCCAGAAATTACAAAATATATGATAAATGAGTAAGCTTCACTTTAGTGGCTGATTATTTCTCCAAAGCATAAGTAGACTTACGGATGGATAGGATTTCAGCACCGATGAGACTGTAATATAGATGAAGGCTAGAAAACATGGTCGGTGCATCAAACGTATAGCCAATGGGCAAACCATAAATAATATGTTCACATGGAATACAATTAGAAAGAAATCCCTGAAAAAGTCAAAGACTTCTGCAAAGAAATACCTGCATAATTCACATAAATGTAAATAAAAAATGGAGAAGGTTAAGTCAAGGAAATATAAAAAATGTATCATTCAGCAGTCTCACCACAAAACACCTATATTTGGGGATAAATCTTCCACCGTAAGAATAAAGCCAAACGTCCTACAAAATTATGCTTAAGTAAATAAAAATTATCCAAAACAAAACAAGGATTCACAAGAATCCCTAAAGTTATTATTTGAACATTGACAGGCTAGCCGTTCAGATCTAAAAGATGTAAATTTTCGGCAAAAATTCTTAAAAGAAAGAAACCATTCAATAGAAGATACTGTAATAAACAAAAGAGGGCATAACTTACTTCTTAAGCATTTCATATGCACCATCAAAACCTTTGAGATAAATGCAACTCAATAACAAAATATAGCAGGACCAAATAAGAGCCCAAAGTGCAAATTGCAGAATAGGTTTCCATGAAAAGGCACGAACGAAACTTCCAGCTGCATTGGAATGCTCCTTCACAAATAATTTTGGAGGAGGAGCATCTGGACCATACACCAAAAGAAGAAGTACCTATAAGATTGGCCACAAATATAGCAACAAGCGAAATATTATAGCTGTTGTCATAGAGAAAGTTGCCAAAAAAATTGATTTAAAGTTTGAATCCTAAAATACTTTATGTTTTTTATGTTTTAGGGTACTGATGGAGCAAAAGGGCATACTGGTATGAGCAATATTGCAGGATAAAGGGACAGGTGTGTTGCCATAACCCACCCAAAAGCTGCCAGTGGAACTACTCCTGCAAGACAGTAGAAGCATTTGAAACATGTAACTTACTGATTACAAACATCTTATTCCAACATTATGGTTATAAAAATGTCGATGGGAAAATTTTTCATAGCAGTTCAGTTCACTTGACATTTAATTTGAAGGGTGGCCAAAGCATGTAGGAGATAGAGACTATATAGTCCAAGAGATTATTATTTGCAGCTGATCACTAACAGCCATATAGAAATCAAAGATAAACATAATATGTTTACATGTCTAGACTTCATTTGGTAAAGCTATGGTCTATAAATTCTGCTATAATATATAAATAAATTCCTACTCGCATAGAAACAGATGAATAGCTCTACAAGTGTGAAATGCATGGAGGAATTTATCATGCATTTTCCCATGTAAATCAAAATTATGGCATGGCAATACTTCAGACACATAGGCAAATCATCATGCTAGAACATGAAGTCTTACAAGTGAAATGCATGAATCGTTACCTAAACATGATCATTTTGGTGAATAAAGAACAAGAGATAAGAGGAAGAGGCCTTGATGTAAAAGAAAGGCTTCTAAGATTATAATAAATCTTACTATTGTCAGCCATTATTTTTGAAAAATGATTTAAATTTAATTTAAATATAATTATATGTGATTTGATTTGAGAAATAGTATTTTAATTTTTGGAAAATATGAGACCAAATCAATCCTACAATATTCGATAGTTTAGGTGGTTGAGCGTGATACCACAAGTAATACATTGTCCTGAAGGACAAACATATCACTTGTAGTTAGGGGTGTAAACGAACCGAACACGAACGAACAGTGGTCGTGTTCGTGTTCGGTTCGTTTGAAATATAGTTTGTTTGAAATAGGCTCGTGTTCGAAATTGTTCGTGAATGGTCAGTTCGTGTTCGGTTCGAATTGTTTGGAATTGTTCGAATTGTTCGAATTGTTTGAATTGTTCGAATCGTTCGAATTCGAAATGTTCGAGATGTTCGAAATGTACGAAAAGTTCGAAATGTTCGAAATGTTCAAAATGTCCGAAATATTTGAAAATTTCTCCAAAACAGTGCGCAAAACAGCCCTAAAAAGATATTTTTAATTTCTGTAAAACATCACACAGAACAACCCTAAAATGTCTCCAAAATAGTGCTCAAAACAGCTCTTATGTAGACATAAATCTCTCAAATCATGGAAGATGCATAAATCTCTCAAATCAAGCTTTACTCATAATAT